GTGGGGTGGAAAAGAATATTTAATTACTGTGGACATTCACAGCAGTTTCATTGAAGTTGATCCTCTAGATCAAATGTAGTGATTGAGTTCCGTAAGGGTCATTTTGCACGCTATGGCATACCTGATGTGGTGGTCTCTAACAATGAGACTCAGTTTACATTCTACCATTTCAAGAAGTTTGCAAAGGTATGGATGTTTCAACATGAAACCATATCCCCAGGTAATAAGCTCATCGTGTAACAGAGGCAGCAGTGAAGGTCGTGAAGCGGTTATGACGCAAATGTAGAGCTTCAGGGAAGGATCCCCTCATAGGACTACTAAACTTACTGAATTCGCCAACAGAGGGGCTAAACACAGGCCTAGCACAAAGGCTATTTGGGAGAAGAACCAAGGCATTGTTCCCAGCATAGAAAGCAATCTACGACCATTTTACCCATACTCTGCTGATGAGGCAGCTAACAAAGGTAAAGAGAAGGCTAAAATAACAGAGTTCGCCCAAATTTTCCCGGTGAAATTGCAGATTAGGACACAGAAACCAATTTAAATAAAAAGCATCATTCTTGGTGTAAAAAAAAGTCTGATTATTCCCAAAATAGCATTAAACATTTGCGGAAACCTACCGTTTAGGAGATATTGACAATATTTTTGGGGGTCTTATTTGTGTCTCGGTTACAGCCCGGTCGTTATTATTGGCCTCGCCGATAACGCCCCAGTGACCAATTTAAATAAAAAAAAAACATCATTTCTGGTGTAAAAAAAAAAGCCTGGTTATTTCAAAAATAGTAAAAATAATCTTCGTTTGGGTTCCGAGTACAATACGGCCGCTCTTACGAGACAAGATTACTGCGCACTTGCCTCCTCGATTACAGCGCGAAAGTTTACCCATTTAATGGATAATTAAAAATAAAACAAAGATGAAAGACATTCCTGTTGTAAAAAAGCCTGATTAAATTTTGAGGAAACTACCGTTTACGAGATGTACAAAAAATATTTTTGTAAAAGATTTTCTATATATATATATATATATATATATATATATATATTTCAAAAGTAATTTAATTCATTTGTGAATATGTCATGAAAAACACAAATAAGACCTAACTAAAATGGTTAATATCACCTAAACGGTAGGTTTCCGCAAATTTTTAATGCTATCTTTGGAATAATCAGACGTTTTCACACCACAAATGATGCATTTTTTAAAAATTCGTTTCTGGTTCTTAATCTGCAATTTTACCGTTTCCCCATTTTAGGCATTGTGCTATTTGTAGGAATTTTTTGTACAGAGTCAGATTAAGTTGGTACATCACTAACTAGAAAAGTAACCCTAAATTAATATATATATATATATATATATATATATATATATATATATATATATATGAAATCATAAATTATTTACTGGCATAGTGACAGAGCTTAAAAAACGGTTATTGAACTTCTATCAACATAACAAACTACAAACTATGAAGCAAATAATTCTAACGAAATAGTTGAGTAGATTTAAAAAACGGCCTGAAATTTGAACTATTTTTGAATTCTAGTCTCATGTACGTGCGAGATTCCCAAGTAAAAAGGTCCAGTGCTGCATTCAGATCGAATACGGTTTTTGAATGATGAGTAATATCTAAGCAAATATGCAGCTCCCGCGACATATAAACATTATTAACGCTGTCAGATCGTAAGACGCTGATGTTGCGGACCCCCTGAAGGGGGATATATTGGATATGACCTGTGCGCCCTAATGAAGATGAGTCACAGGAGGCCCGCAAATATTTTAAAATAAATGACGTAAAACTGACAGGTCAATAAATGCGAGAAGTAAAGGGATGTATGCAATGGAAAACGCCGTTCAGAAAAAAAAACCTGTTTAAAGGAAGAATCGTTTCCAACTAGCATTCAGTTGGCAGACAAAAATAAGTGGGATGTAACTTAACACAGAACCTGTCCAATCATGGGAGCCTGCGATCGTCCTCTCTCTTTTTTAGATCGGCCAAAAGGTCACAGAGGTGTGTAGTCACGTCGCCGAGCTTGATACTAAAAATTAAATGCCACATGAAATGTTCAAGGGGAGTATTTATTGTGTTAAGAATCAACTGAGAACTGTGGTTGATTATAAAATCTAAATAAGCCTGGCATGTTGTATAGAAGAAAGTGGGTTAATGGAACGAAGAAAAGACAAAGGTACCGAAGTAATATAACTCTACCGCCATGAACATAAACGTGAGTAGCGGGGGGTTGGGGTGTTGGGGGTGGGTGCGCTACGATACTGATTTCGCCAGGCCGCTTGAAAGTAGTGCGGGGCTCTCGAAAACGGAGACTTGGAGCATTTATTACTTTTGATAATCTTCTGGCTAGTCGAATCTAGATTAATCGGGAACTGATTTTAATGCAAGAATAAATATTTATGACAAGATTTGAATTTTATTTATGATGTAAGAGTTTGTCATGAAACATTCATTTAATTTTTCTAAGTAAGATTTCTTTTTCCATCGACAGTCTAACTCTCTAAATCTCCTATTTTTGTACCCCCCCAACCAGGTAAAAAAAACAGACTAACAATTTAGAAAATTTGATACTCACATGGGACAGATTGAATGAAGGTGTAGTGGTTCTAAGAAGGTTGCGTGAATATTTAAGATTGTGCTGCAAATAAAATATGCAATGTCCACAAACATAAATTATAAGAATTGGCCAAATGGTAACGATATTCAATCACGACAAAAAATACATGTTTGAAACAACAAAGTAAATTTTATATAAACAATTTACAATTTCTTTGTTGGTAATGATGTGTGCAAAAGTATATTTTAGAGAAAAAGTTTTTTGCTGTTTCGGAAATGTTCAATGTCTAAAAAGTTGTCTGCCTTTGATTAAAAAGGTTGAATTTAACTTACACAAAAGATTTTCCTATGACAGATATTAAGTGAAAAAGTTGGTTGTGTAAATTTTTCTAATCTCTCATAAAGAAAGTTTGTTTGTTTGTTTGTTTGGCGGCTATTTGGCACATAATTCCCGGGTGTATCTTTCGCGCGTGTGAGTCTCAAATGCGACGAAAATTCGTTTGCTATTTCTATTTATAGTTTTTTTTAACAACCAAATCGGCTCAACGGGGCTTGGTAGCTGTTGCAATGCGTGGGCGAATGTTGTATTTTTTAATTTTTTTAGCCAATAGGGTTTCTTGAAACATTTAAATTAGGGATGAATTTGAGAAAGATTTTTTACATTGGCTGGGCCTACTTTTGCACAAATTTTGACTGTTTTCTTATAGAAATTTCTCGAAGCTTATTTTATATTTAACAACCACTGAAATTCAAGAAAATGTTTGAAATTGAAATGAGAGTTACTAAAAAGTCAAGAGGGACAAAAAAGGAATACAACGCATAATTTTCCTACCGAGTTTGAGTAAAAATGGATGGTAGAAGAAGGTTTTAGGAGAGATAAAAAAGACAACACAACATTTATTCAATTTTAAGAAGAACTACAAAAAAAAAAAAAAAAGGACAGGGAATTGTGGGAGACGACACATAGAGGAATAAAGACTGAAACTAACTATTTTCTCAGTTAATTTTTTTTTTACATGCGAGTACAGGGTGGTCCGAAAGTTTTGTTACCCCATACATAATATAATTTTCTATTTCAGATGTTTGACACTAGTTCCTACAAACCTTCGCCATGTGTGACAGCGTCAATGAAAGGGAATAATAAACTGAATACAGTACACGTGCTTTGTATTGTAGCGGATGTTTACATACACCACGCCCACAAAATACTCAATAGCCATTGGATAGAAAATAAGCACTATTTTCTATAGTCCTATAGAAAATAAGCACTATTTTCTATAGGACAATTTATGCATCGCATGAGCCACATCGAATTTTCTGATGTTTAGTTTACTTTGCCAAACCTGGTTTAGAAAAAATCAGTGATTGGTTGATTTTTGACCAATTATATAATATAACACTCTTTTCAATATTTTTCCCGCTCTCGTTCCTGGAGCCTATTCAGAAAGTATAAATAGCACGAAAATCAAAGGAAAGAACAGTAGTAGAATAGTAAATCTCCAGAGCTCAACCACGAATGGGAATTCTCATTCTTCTACTCTCACACACAGACACAAAATAAACAATTGCACTACGTTGTGAACTGTCTGTCCAAAAAGCCAAGTAACCAACTCAGAATTCTTTTGTACAACTTTCTCATACTTAAACTCAGTTATCACATATTGCTGAACTTTGAACATTTTAAACAAGAAAATTCTTTTAACACACATTTACAACCTCACATCAGTACAAGGGGAACTACTTCCTCTTTCTTAACTTTGTTTCACCAAACACAATTGTTGTAGTCGCTTGTTTTTCAATACATGTTATTGTTGATTACTGAATAATCTTTTGTTATTCCTTCTTTGTGAAATTTAAATGTGATGTGCTAATAAAAAACGCAACCTTCACCAAAGCCTTCTTAACAATTTTATACCAAATCTCATTAGCACGCCACAGTATTACGTGTTATAATCTGAATCTCATTTACATTTTGGTAGGTGGTGACAAGACTTTCGGAGCACCCTGGTTTTTATTCGTATCTATAGTATATGATCTATTCTTTCATTAGTTTCTTTTTTTTTCTCGAATATTTGTTTACTTTTGCAGTTAAAATCTCTCTCGAAAAAATATTAATATTCGTTTTTTTGGTGATATTTTTTAAATTAAATTGGAAAAAAAGAAATAAATAACATATAAACAAAAAGCCGGTATTCAAAATTAAAAAGTTCGATGAGCTCATCGAACTTTTTAATTTTGAATACCGGCTTTTAGTGTATATGTTATTATTATTTTTTTTTTTTCCAATTTAATTTAAAAATTTCACCACGCCCCTATCTTCTTAAAAGGGTCTACATCCGGATGAAGAGCACCGCTTTACTGTCTAACTACGCTGTTGTCATTTGTTTCAGTTTGAAGTTGATTTTCGTCACATTCGCTTTTCTGTCGAATTGAAAAATGTCAGTCAGTGCTGTATCAGAGATATCGAAAGATACCAATTCATGGGTAAGGTTATGAACAAATGTTTCGTTTAATTAGTGAATTAGATTGTACACTTATTTGTTCTAATTTTGATCACACTTTTTTTTAAAATGTTAAACTTCGGCGCAAAATTGAATGAGAAACCTACACTGAAATCAGTGAAATCTTTCGCATTTTTTCTTCACAAGTAAAAAACACTTTTGTTCGTATTTCCACAGTATAATATTGTACTTAAGAAATATTTTTTTCGTTGTTATTGGAATTCGCAGACCAAAGAGTGTACAGTAAAAAAAAAAAAGACTAAAAGAGTAAGTACACAGTGTGTACTTACTGTTTTGGTGTGTTTGTTTTTACTATCAAACAAAAACAGAATTACAAACCTAAAAACAAAAACAGAATTACAAACATGAACATTACTTAAGGTATCCAACTTAAAAATATTTAATTTAACTTAGAAATATTATTATAACTGTTATTTCAGAGAGATTCAACGCCACGTTACAAAGTTGATTTCATTCTTTGTTATTTACTCGGCAGTGAACGATAAAAAAGAAAAAAAAAACATACATATTTGGGTTGAATAACGAATATTTTCCCCTTGTATTTTAAATTCATCGAATTTCTGTTTTCATCCGCCAATAATCAATATGTTACCATTCTTATCAACTATTTTAACATTAAGAAAGATAAACGGTAAACCGTAAAACATTTTTTTAAAAATCCTTCAAATTATAAATGCTTTAAAAATCATTTGTTACAATTACATGATTTAAGAGAATTAAATTTGAATAAATTGTTTGCAGCATTTGCTAAACGAGCAGCTGATTATTGACAAGTATTTTTTCTTTTTCCTTTTTTTAATGAATTTTTATGTTAGTTTTTTTTTTTAATTCTATTACGACTGAACTACATAACTCAGTGGTTCTCTCAACCTAATATTTTACGTCCCGATGCACTCTTTTCTTTGCCATCATAAGTTAGGATGAGTCGGACAATCTTTCCAAGATTGTCGGACTCAAAAGGTGCATTCTGTGGAATAAGGTATTATGCCATCTACGACATTTTACGCGCGCGCGAGTTGCCTCCCTTTCTCCGTCACTCGTGTGTGTGCGCGCGGCGGTTGACACCTCCCTTCCTCCTTCGTTCGGTCTAATACAGTAGTAACTGTTTTGGTCAGTAGTCAAACGTCCTGCTACTATGGTTTATGCAAATTAGATTTTTGAAATCTTGCCGCGAAAAATTTGTGACGTCAACGACAAACGGTTGTTTGAAAAAAAACAGTTGGTGTTCCAGACTCTGAGCTGAGCAGACTCATTTTTATCTACGTCAATATTTCAGTTCGACTGACGAAGGATATCTTACTATGCAATACCAAATAATTAATTCTTCGTCCCTTCTGGCTGCTCATTCAAGAATCCTTTTCCGAGACGATGCAATACCAAATAATTAATTCTTCGTTCCTTTCGGCTCGTCATTCAAAAGTCCTACTCCGAGATGATGCAAAACATCCAAAAATATTAATAATTCCTAGGCCCTTTCGAGACTCGTCATTCAAAGTCCTACCCGAGACGATGCAGAACATACAAATCATTCCGTCGTCCACTTTGGGTCTCGCCAGAAATCTGTTTTGAACCAGTACAAAAAAACAAAAAAAACAAATACGTACATAACATTCACTCACATTACCTAAACTCGCAGTGAAGTATTTTTCCTTGTATGAATATTACCATGTACATTGACTTACTGGAACCTTTTTCTTCAAGAACATTTTCCCGCCTTTTAGCCATCTTGTTTTTTATTTTGGCGCGGAACTATTTCATTGGTCCCTACCACGGGACAAATTACTTGTTTTCCTGCATTTAATAAAATTACTCTTGTTGAAACCCAGTCTTTTCAGTCATTCCGAGGAGGCTATCTTGTTAATATTTTTATTTATGCACGTGGATTTTTTTTCACATTTCTTCGTTGTTCATTCACGCTTTTTTTACTTTGCTTGTAGACTCGGTAGTTTAGTGTGGTGTCTGGCACAAGGCCACTCAGTATAATCCAGCACTACACCCTACCGGGTCCGCAACAAGATTGGTGACCTTACGACGTGAATTGAACACGTAATAATTTTGCAACCTTGCTAACATATTTCTGAGCAAGCTGAAATATAAACGTGCTTAAAATCCGATAGCCGGAATGACGACTAGTGACAAGAGTTGGCGAACATGTCCGCCGCCGTCGCTCCTTTTCCCCCCTTTCATGAAGGGAATATAAAGAACTGGTTCTTACAAATGGGAAAACCATTTTCACAGTCAGAAGGATTACAGACCAAAAAGACCAAGTTTGTCACAAGTGGTGGCGGTTTTGCCACCCGCCATTGTTGATGAGGTCTCAGACTTCCTAAAGCCGTTCCTGGTAGAACCCTACGCGCGGTTAAAAGAAGCAATCTTAAGGAGAATGGGCCGTACAGAGGAGTCGTTAATCCGGGAACTATTTAGCAACCTAACTTGTGATGGCAGGACTCCTCCCAACTTCTTCGTTATATGAAAAGCCGACTCGGCAAAAAATACCATGGCCGACTCTATATTAAAAAGCTTGTGGCTGGACCGTTTATAACCCAAATTTTGGCGCCAATGTCCGAAAACACCTCGATCGATCAATTAATTATCGTATTTTCTCGCAACTGGATAATCAGACAACGCCGGTACACAGTGCCGAAGCGACTGGAGACCAAAGTCGAGGAATTGCAGCGCCAAGTTAAGGATTTAACATTAGCTCTAAAGAGCCGTGATCGAAGCCGGTTCCTTTCAGAAGTCGACCACGCTCGTCCAGCCGAGATAAGGATGCCACCCCTACTATGTCTACCACCGAAGATTTGGGTCTAAAGCTTATTACCGTTAACTTATACTGCGGTCGCGGAAAAAAAACCGCCAGCGAGTTCTCGCTGGCAAGGCATTTTCACCAAAACTTAGTCGCCTTTTTTTATGTGACGGACACGCGTAATAATTTCGTTTTTGGTTGATACCGGCGCTGCCATTAGTGTCTTACCCGTGCGTGATAAAGCTCGTCAACAACCTTTTCAGCTCCGCTTACAAGCACCAGTAAAATACTTACGGTACGAAGTCCCTTGGGATGCGACGAGACTTTACTTGTTTTACTGTCGCTGACGTCCAGATGCCGATACTAGGTGCTGATTTCCTGGCGCACTATGATCTCGCCGTGCGAATGAACAATCATTCCCTTTACTGACAACTTAACAAGTCTGTGTGTTCTTGGCACTTATTCTAAACTTACTACCACTGGCATCACCGTGGCAACGTGCCACAATAAAGAGTACTTAGTTTATTGAATCAGTACCAGGACCTCATGTCCTGCTGGATCTATTGATTGAACTAAACATCAAACACAGCACTTTATTAAGACCACTGGTCAACCTGTTTTTTCCGTCCTCGTCGTCTAGCACCTAACAAATTAAAATTCGCAAAGAAAGCTTTCGACGACATGCTACAAGAAGGCGTTATTCGTCCGTCCGACAGTCCTTACGATTTAGTACCTAAACCAGGAAAGGAGGACTATAGAATTTGTGTGGATTATAGAAGATTGAATTCCATCACCGTCCGGGATCGTTATCCAATCCCCCACCTCCACGATTTCACTTCTGGTTTACAAGGCGCAAAGATTTTTACTAAAATAGATCTAGCAAAAGCATATTATCAGGTGCCAGTAGCTGCTGCTGATGTCCCAAAAACTGCTGTTACTACACCTTTCGGTCTATTTGAATTTTTGAAAATGCCTTTTGGCCTTTGCAACGCAGCACAAACATTCCAACGTCTTATGGACGAGGTTCTGCGTGGACTCCCTTTTGTTTTCGATTACATTGACGACATTCTGATAGCTAGCGAGGACGCTGCCTCGCATAAACAACACCTACACGAAGTTCTTCAACGTTTGTCCCATTACGGATTTCGTCTAAACCTGGACAAATGTGTCTTCGGATCAGACCATATAAATTTTTAGGACATCACGTCGATGCAAATGGAATTGCCCTTTAACTGAAAAAAAGATTAAAGCTATCACTGAGTTTCCCGTCCCTGTTTCTATTAAACAGTTGAGACGCTTTATAGGGATGATCAACTTCTACAGGAGGTTTATTCCAAACTGTTCTAACATCCTAACACCTCTTACCAACTTATTACAGAAGAAGAAGAATAAAACTATTATACTTGAGAACGAAGCTTTGGACGCCTTTCGAGCAGCTAAAACCGCTCTAGGCAATTTTTCTAAGCTTAGTTTCTTAGAGGACGACCCTAAATCGGATATCTACCTGACCACTGACGCTAGCGAAACAGCAATAAGTCATTGAACAAATCCTCCTTCTAAACGTAGACCTATAGCGTTCTTTTCCGCTAAACTTTCTCCTGCCCAGTCACGTTACAGTACATTTTCTCGTGAACTGTTGGCTATTTTCGTGCCATTAAGCATTTTAAACCTCCTCGAGGGTAGGTCCTTCGTTATATTTACGGACCACAAACCTTTAACGTCCGTTATGTCCACTAATTCGGACAAATACAAGATCAGATACCTGGACTATATATCGCAATTTACTACTGATATTAGGTACATTAAGGGTTCGGATAACACTGTTGCCGATACCCTATCTCGTACTGAAATGTTTGTCGTGCATACTGATGCACTCAGTCAAGATTTGATCGCCGACGAACAGGAAGCGGACATAACTCTGAAGCATGTGTTTATCAGACACTTCTTTAGAACTTCAGAAATGTCAGCTCCTTTTAGTAACAAGGTCTTATACTGTGATGTAAATCAAATCTCCAAGACCTTATATTCCTCCGTCTCTTCGTAGACAGGTTTTGACCACCTACACGGACTCTCACACCCCTAGCAAAAGAGCCACAGTTAAGTTAATTTCTGACCGTTTCGTTTTAGCCGAATATGAACGTTCACATTCGCGAATGGGTTAATGCTTGACAATGTCAGAAGTGTAAGGTGCATAGACACACAAAATCTCCCGTGGG